AGGCTGTTGTGATGCCACAGCAGAGATGATGATGCTTGATATTTTCTAGGAAGCCAGGACCTGTCTTGGACATAGTCTACGGGGAACCCATTCAGCCAAAAGCCCATCATCCACAAGAGAACGAAGGTTCAGCAGGAAGCCCACCCAGTTGATGAGAGGATGAACCCTTTTCTGGGGAAGTTCCGGATCCCCCTGGAAAATCACAGTAGACAGTTCCTGGTGCTGCTAAGGAGCAGGATGTGTGCATTGTGGTGAGGAAAACATCTGGGCATCAACCCCAACATCTTGAGAGAAAAAGTGTTTCAGAACGCTCTCAGGGGAGTAGGGGGGTACACGGTTCCACAGCATAATTACGGTAGGAACTCCAGGTCCCAGGGTAACTCTCGCAGCCGCAGACTGTTGTTGATGCTGCTAAGGGACAAGACATCATGCAGTGTGATAATGACAAGATGATCCATACAAAAACAACGGACAGTCCATAGTGCAAAAACAGTAAGATGGAGAGTGTCTAGTGTACATATGGGACACACAATGTATCCTTTGAAGGCTGAGCTGAACAGGATACTTCTTATGCTTGTAATTCTCTGTATTTCCTGTTTCTCAAGATACCTTGTTTCAAACAATCTACTTTCCTAAATAGGCAAAGGGAAAGTGGCAGCCAGTAAATGAAGCAGAAGACGCCCGTGCCACAAAGAAGGTTGCAAGGAGCCCAGTTGGACCACAGCCAGGATGATGATGTTTGATACTTGCAAGGAGCCAGACCTGTGCATTGTCTATGGGGAACCCATCAGGCAAAAGCCCATCATCCACAAGAGAACGGGGGGTCAGCAGGAAGCCCACCCAGTTGATGAGGAGGATGAACCCCTTTTTCATGGAGGAAGTTCCGGAGCCTCCTGGAAAATCACAGTACAGACAATTCCTGGTGCTGCTAAGGAGCAGGATGTGTGCATTGTGGGTGAGGAGAACATCTGGCACTACCCCAACACCTGCAAGAGAAATATGTGTTTGCAGAAAATCAGCTCAGGGGAGGGTCCAGTTTACAGCAAAGGAGACTCCAGTGTCCCAAGTAAAACTCCAGCCCAGGCTGTTGTTGATGCCACAGCCAAGATGATGATGCTTGATATTTCTAGAGACCCAGACCTGTGCATTGTCTATGGGGAAACCCATCAAGCCAAAGCCCATCATCCATAAGAGAACTGAGGGTCAGCAGGAAGCCCACCCAGTTGAGGAGAAGGAGGATGTACCCCTTCTTCGTGGAGGAAGTTGCAGATCCCCCTGGGAAATCATGTTGGAGAAAGTTCCTGGTGCTGCTGAGGAGCAGGATGTGTGCATTGTAGGTGAGGAAAACATCTGGCACAACCCCAACATCTGTGAGAGAAAAGCGTGTTTGCAGGAAACGCTCTCAGTGGAGGGTACCGTTCACAGCAAACTAGACTCCAGTGTCCCCAGGGAACCTCCAGCCCAGACTGTTGGTGATGCTGCTAAAGGACAAGACATCTGCATTGTGTATGACCAAGGTGTCCTACAAAAGCACACAGTCCATATCAGAATTGGGTATCCTGAGGAAACACACCCAGGGGAGGATGTAGTTAAACCCTATTGCTGGTGGAAGAGATTGGAAAGGCCCCAATGAATCCACCTTCCAGCCTGCTGTTGATGCCACCAAGGAACAAGACTCCTGCATTGTGCATGAGGGAATGGTTAGACAGAAGCCCATTTTTCAAGCAACAGCCCCCAGTGAAGCCACAGCTCAGAGAGATATGGATGCTGGTAAGTAATGGGACTCCCGGGTAATGCATATTGGGGATGGAGGTCCCAGGCAGAATTGCTTCTTAGCTCCAGGTCTTAATGACAAGCACACAAGGCTATTTTTGAGGTCATCCCATGCTACACCAACTTACAGTAGACCCACTAAAAGTAATGGACATAGGACCCACTCTATGTAGGTTTTGTTTGCTGGGGAAACTGTACTGCTCTTGAGTTGTATATATTTATATATACGCCTTGTGCAGAAATTTTTCAATTTCGCTTTGTACTTTTTGTTGTTTTGTTTGTTGTTCACAACTACTTTCCCTACGTTCATAGTCTGCTACTTTTGCTGTATTGTCTGCTCTTAAGCATTAGAAAAGTTTCAATACATCAAGAATTAAAAATCTTGATCTAACCTTTTGATGGACAAACAATATAGCTTTGCTTCCTAAAGCCAATGTAAGCTTCCACCTGCAGACTGAGAAAATATTTCCTCTCGAGAGTAAAATCTGTACAGGTAGAAATTTGCTGGTGAATCTGAGGCAATGGCAAAACCTGACTAAGGATATTGAGCGGAGTGGAAAGAAAGTTCACCCATGATGGCAACTTACTGCCCGCTTAGACAGCAATGGCCCAAAAGTGAATCAAAAAGACAAAACATATTACATTGAATGTCTCAGTTTCCATCTCTCTCTCTCTGACATCCATGTTTTCCTTCTCTCTTATCCACCAGGTGTTTTGCAGTGGAGACAGAACAAAAGGAAAACTTTGAAAACAGCACAGGATGAGATGGTGGAGCAGAACCTCCTGAGTCACGATGGACCAAGGAGGGAAAAGAGAAGCCACAGAAAACAGAAGACAGACAAATCCATCGTTTCTCAAAGTAGCTTCTTCACTGAGCAAGGAGAACAACCAGAAAACAGAGATGCTTTGAGAACATCCACAAAGGAGAAAACAATTCAAAGGGCAGAGTCTGGAGAAATAAGCAGTGGGAGCAGAAACAATGGATACAGCCCCACATGCCCTACAGAGGTGAAGCAGTATGGAAAGAGCTTCAGGAATCAGAAGCAGTTTGCTGCCCATCAGAAGATTCACACAGGACAGAAATCACATAAATGTGCAGACTGTGGAAAGAGCTTCCGCAGGAAATGGACCCTTACAATACATAAAAGAACCCACACAGGGGAGAAGCCGTACAAATGTTTGGAGTGCGATAAAAGCTTCAATTACATCTCACACCTTACTAGACATCAAAGAATCCACACAGGGGAGAAGCCTTTCAAATGTCTGGCGTGTGAGAAAAGCTTCACTGTCAGCTCAAGCCTTACTAAACATCAAAGAACTCACACAAAGGAGAAGCCTTACAAATGTTTGGTGTGCGATAAAAGCTTCACTGACAGCTCAAACCTTACAGTACATAAAAGAACTCACACAGGGGAGAAGCCCTACAAATGTTCTGTGTGTGGAAAACATTTCACACAGATCGCGAACCTTAAAGTACATGAAAGAACTCACACAGGAGAGAAACTGTACAAGTGTGAACAATGTGGAAAGAGCTTCACCCGTAAAGCAGACCTGCAGAGGCATCAAAAGCACCACACAAGGGAGACACCCAACCAGGATTCAAATCTCAGTGAGCGTTTAGATGATGAATCGAGACCTCATGAAGGTGAGAACGCACAACGGATGGAAACCATGTAACTTCCTCAACTATTCTAAGAAAGTCGCATCCACACAATATATTTAAAGCTTACCCCTAAAGAATACTGGGAACTTAAAGGTGTTCGTAAAGGTGTCCGGAATTTAGACCTATGAGGTTGAAACTACTGTTTCCAGAATTCTTTTGAGAAAACCATATAATAGCTACAAAGGAGCTGTAAAGGTTTGGTGCGGATGTGACCTCAGTCTCGGCGTCCATCTCTTGGGCATCGCAGGAGCCACCCAGAGGCCACATCCCCCCTGAATCTCCCAATATACACACATAATCCATGCTTTGGGTGGGTTCTTGAGTCTTTTAAGTGGCTAGAATACATTGCCTCAGGTTTTGGGTCCATTCTTTGTGTAGATTCCATGTGATAAGTGTGTGTGTGTGTGTGTGTGTGTGTGTGTGTGTGTGTGTGTGTGTGTAATAAAGTTGCTTTATCGTAATCAGTTAGGCTATGGAAATTGCTTTTGGGAGAATCTAGAGAAAACTCAGCTCTTTCCTTGGCCAGAGCACACTCAACCAGCACCTTTCTCTCTTGACATTGGGAATTTCTCTTGGCACCCCAATAAATGTGAGGGCTCTTCTGTTCATCCGGCTGAGTTAACCAAGTTGGGGATAATATAGGCTCTTGAAACCAAAGAGAAGGATTGACCCAAGGAAGGAAGGGAAGTTTGAAAGGCTTCAGAGGCTTCCCCGTTGGAAATGTAAAATTGGCACAGTAGCTGCTTCTACTTTTTAGATTTGTTTTGAGACTACCGATCCTGAATAATAAAGTTGTGTAAATATTATGCTTTGTGCTCTTCTGTTTTCACTGGCTCCTCAGAACAAAAATGGATGCAGCTTTCCAATTTAGATTGCAGTTTCCAGCACACTCAGCCCCCATTCACACCATGCAGTAAAAGCAATGGGATACCGCTTTAAACAGTCATGGCTTCCCCCAAGGAGATCTGGGAGCTGAAGGTTGTTAAGAGTGCTGAGATTGATTAGAGGAGACCTCGTATTCTCCTCACAGAGCTACAGTTTCCAGAATAACTGGGGGGGTGGGGAGAAACTGATGGTTAAACCACTTTGCCCGAGCTGCTCAAAGAACCCTAAAAGATTGGTGAATTGCAGAAGCCAAGCTGGATTTTATTCAGTAAGACTTGGTCCTCTGTATATATGAAGACTTTATCAACCATAAATCAGTGGTTGCACCTGCAACTGAAATTGTGACAGACAGAATGTGAAAGCTTCACTAAAGTTATATTTCCCTTTGAGAAATAGCTTGACCTGTTGAAATTCTGCCTGCTACACAGCTGTTAAAGGCACAAGGATCAGAATAAGTACACTCAAAGGAAGGGAGAAGCAGTTTTTGAGGCCTCGGGGGATTCCTATTGCCTGGTATCTAAACCACTTACAAATCACTCACAGCTCTGCATTCACTCATTGGCTGAACGGCTGGTGCCTAAAAATTAGGAAGGAAGACACCAGAAGAGCCTCCTTGTGAAGAGTGTTCCAGGAGTGAGGAGGCACCTCAGGAAAGGCCTGTTCTCAGGTTGCCAGGCTCCTGGCCTCTCGTGTCGGAGGCACACGGAGGAGTCTTTTTTTAAGAAAACCACAAAGGTTGATGTTATTATGTTGACCATATGTGAAACCAAGCCACAATTTAAAAGCAAAAGCAGAAAGCTATAAATCAAAGTGCAAGAGGGAAAAAGAGGGCATTTCTTTTTCTCTCTCTGCTGTTTAATTTCTCTTTTCAGATCACACTTCCGCCCTGCCACAGTTTGTTTTTCTGTGGACTCCAGTTCCCAGCAGCCTTTGCACTTCCCACATAAACGATTAACACCTGGCCCCATTTAGCTGAGCAAACACCCAAGTGGGACAGTGAAGGGGCTTGAGATGAAGAAGGAAAGTCAGTGAATTCACCAATATCTACCAGAAGGGGTGAGCTGGAGCCTACCAAGAACTCAAGATAAGACATGCTGGGATTGGGTAGAAAATTCTGAACTGGGGGTCCCTGTTTTTTCCCCCTTTCTTCTCCTTTGTGGCATTTGAAATGCAGACTTGATCTCCCAAGGGGCTGCTGCTCTGGGCCTCGAGTGCAGACGTTCCTTATCCCTAAGGGGACCTGGGTGAGTCAAAGGAGGAAGAGTGCAAGAGAGGGAATTCTTCCCATGGATGGGTAAACTGGGGTGGGGTCGGGCAGGTAGCTTCTTTCCCCTTGCCTTTTGCATTAATTAAATATTTCACAATGATTGCTTAAGGAAGAGTCCTTAGCCCCAAGGGGACCTGGGTGAGTCAAAGGATGACAGCCCTTTGGAAGAATGAGAAAGTGAAAACATGGGATTCCTCACTGTGCAGGAGGAGGAATGTGGGTAGCAAGGAAGGGTGCAAGAGAGAGATTTCTTCCCCTGGGAGGTTGAGATGGGGTGGGGTCCGGAAGGCAGCCTCTTGCCTTTTGTGTTTTTATTAGTCTTTCAATTAGATACTCCACATACACATATTGTATTACATTTTACATTTATACTTGCTCTTCAAAGCTGACTTGCCTCCTTCTTTCTTCTGGTTTTTTATATCACATATAATTTTATCGCATTATTTTCTTCCATTTTATATATTGTTCTCATTTTCCACATTTGAGCATAGTGTATCCATAAACAAATAAGTCCTCAGGTTTATACAATTCTTATTATCAATCTGTATCCATTTAGCTGAGCAAACACCCAAGTGGGTTAGTGAAGGGGCTTGAGATGAAGAAGGAAAGTCTGTGAATTCACCAATGTCTACCAGAACAGGTGAGCTGGAGCCTACCAAGAACTCAAGATAGAACCCGGGTGAGTCAAAGGATGACAGCCCTTTGGAAGAATGAGAAAGTGAAAACATGGGATTTCTCATTGTGCAGGAGGAGGAATGTGGGTAGCAAGGAAGGGTGCAAGAGAGAGCTTTCTTCCCCTGGGAGGTTGAGATGGGGTGGGGTCCGGAAGGCAGCCTCTTGCCTTTTGTGTTTTGTGTTATTCACATTTTTCATTAAGAAGGGGGAGCTTGCTTAAGACAGAGCTGCAGCCTGGAGTCCACAACAAAAAGGAAAAGAGGGATAGGATGTGTATTAGGGCTTCTGCAGGTGGAGGTTGCAACATTTCCTGGAGCAAAGATTAAAAGAGTCTTAGGGGGAAAGAACGCAGCTCAATGGTGGCGTGCCTGCCTTGCATTGCAGAAGGTGGCAAGGTTAGTCCCCAGTATCTCCATGTAGGGCTTGCAAGAGGCTTCCCATATGAAACCCTGGGAGCTGCTGCCCGTCAGTGTAGACAGTACTGAGCTAAGTGGCCAAAGTTACTATTCTCTTGTGTACATGAGGATCATGAAGGAAAAGATTCATTTCTGAGCTGTTTTCCTAAACCAGTGAGTGTCCAGTGTGCATACGGGGATACTCCTGTGCTTCTAATTCTCTGTATTTCCTGTTTCTCAAGATGCTTTGTTTCTAACAATCTACTTTCCTAAACAGGCAAAGGGAAAGCGGCAGCCAGAAGACGAAACAGAAGACGCCTGTGGCTAAGAAGAAGGTTGCAAGGAGCCCAGTTGGACCACAGACACGATGATGATGTTTGATACTTGCAAGGAGCCAGACCTGTGCATTGTCTATGGGGAATCCATCAGGCAAAAGCCCATCGTCCATAAGAGAACGGAGGGTCAGAAGAAAGCCCACCCAGCCCACCCAGTCGAGGAGGAGGAGGAGCATGTACCCCTTTTTCCTGGAGGAAGTTGCAGATCCCCCTGGGAAATCACGGTACAGACAATTCCTGGTGCTGCTAAGGAGCAGGATGTGTGCATTGTAGGTGAGGAAAACATCTGGCAGTACTCCAACACCTGCAAGAGAAAGGAATGTTTGCAGGAAACCCACTCAGTAGAGGGCCCAGTTGATAGCAAAGGAGACTCCAGTGTCCCAAGTAAAACTCCAGCCCAGACCGTTGTTGATGCCACAGCCAGGATGATGATGGTTGATACTTCTAGGGAGCCAGACCTGTGCATTGTCTACGGGGAACCCATCAGGCCAAAGCCCATCATCCACAAGAGAACTGAGGGTCATCAGGAAGCCCACCAAGTCGAGGTGGAAAAGGAGATACCACTTCTTCATGGAAGAGGTTGCAGATCCCCCTGGGAAATCATGGTGCTGGCAGTTCCTGGCGCTTCTAAGGAGCAGGACGTGTGCATTGTGGGTGAGGAAAACATCTGGCAGAACCCCAACATCTGTGAGAGAAAAGCGTGTTTGCAGAAAACCCTCTCAGTGGAGAGTCCCATTCACAGCAAACTAGACTCCAGGGTCCCCAGTCAACTTCCAGCCCAGACTGTTGTTGATGCTGCTAAGGGACAAGACATCTGCATTGTGTATGGCCAAGGTGTCCTACAAAAGCCCACCGTCCATATCAGAATTGGGTTTCCTGAGGAAACACAACCAGGGGAGGATGTAGTTAAGCCTGTTGCTGGCGGAGAAGATTGGAAAGGCCCCAATGAATCTACTTTCCAAGCCGTTCTTAATGCCACCAAGGAACAAGACTCCTGCGTTGGGTACGAGGAAATGGTTAGTCAGAAGGCCATTTTTCAAGGAAGAGCCCCCTGTGAAGCCACAGCTCAGAGAGGTATGGATACTGGTAAGTAATGGGACTCCCGGGTAATGCATATTGGGGAGGGAGGTCCCAGGCTGAATTCCTTCTGAGCTCCAGGCCTTGACTGTCATTGAACCCACTCTATGTAGGTACTCTTTGCTGGGGAAACAATACTGCTCTTGAGTTGTGTGTGTTTGTGTGTGGCTTGTGCAGAAATTTTAAAAAAGAAATTATATACAGTGGTACCACAGGTTAAGTACTTAATTTGTTCCAGAGGTCCATTCTTAATCTGAAACTGTTCTTAACCTGAAGCATCACTTTAGCTAATGGGGCCTCCTGCTGCCGCTGCACCGCCACACAGCAATTTCTGTTCTCATCCTGAAGCAAACTTCTTAACCCGAGGTACTATTTCTGGGTTAGCGGAGTCTGTAATCTGAAGCGTATGCAACTCGAGGTACCACTGTATACATCTCTGATAGCAATTTAACTTTGAGCTCCAACAATTCGGTTTAAAATCTAGATTTTTATTTTCGAAATCTAAATTTCTTTTATCTCCATTAAATATATCATTTACTTGATGATATTGCGACCAACCCCTAAGTACTTCTTCTATTTGATTATATGATTGAAGTTTTAATCCTTTATCGGTTTCCATCCATATCTCACCATAGGTGGCCCACCTTCCCTCAATATTTAATTTTTTAACAGTCAATGCCCCTACTGGAGATAGCCACCATGGTGCTTTTCGTTCTAACAGATTTTTATATTTGTCCCAAACTTCATAAATTGACGTTCTTATCACGTGATTTAGAAACCCTTTATAAACTTTACTTTGTCATACCAAAGATAAGAATGCCACCCAAGGACTTCCGGGTTGGTGCCTCCAGCAATGGCGGAGTTCCTTTGACCGGGAGGAACTTGCCCCGTGGGAATTTGGGTCTGTACCGCCACGGCGAAGGCGGAGACCCGTAAAAATCACAGGCGGGAGAAGCCTGTGAACGTGGGATTCAGCGGGCACCTTTTGCGCCTCCCCTACTCGTGGGGAAACCCGCTTTCGGGGATCCGGAGCGATGTGGGGTGAGCGACGCGGTGCTTCAAATCGTCTGCTTCTTCCACGGAGCGAAGCCGCATAGCTGTTGCCGGAGAGCACTGACTTTTTCCTGTGGAGAATTGGACTCTAAAGTAATTACCCGTGAGTAGAGCTGAAGTGGGAGAATTGGATTTTTAAACATTTAATTTGGCATCAAAACGGGGAGGTTCAACACAGGAAGTCTGCCTCCCCTTTTGTAAATAAATTAAAGCGATGAGCCTGCAAGCTGAAGTCTTGGAAAGACTAAAATCTCCATCGGCAAAGAACTAAACCCCCCCTTTGGAGACAGGAGAAGAGGGGGGGAAGTGGTGGACTGAATATGCCTGTAGGAAAGAGTTAAGAGAGTTAAAATACCGCCGCTCAGACCCTGGAAACGGGCTGCCTAGCAGGATCGATGTCTTTTGGAATGTTCATTGACAATGTTTAGAACGTTCATTGACAGGTTGCAAAATAAGAGAATACATTGTTTCTACTGTTTCCGGATGCTTTTAAGAGGAGTAAAAGTAACTGAAAACTCAAACTAACTTTGGATTATTGGTTACAGATAGGTAGCCGTGTTGGTCTGCCATAGTCAAAACAAAAAAATTTCCTTCCAGTAGCACCTTAAAGACCAACTAAGTTAGTTCTTGGTATGAGCTTTCGTGTGCATGCACACTTCTTCAGATACCGATGGACTTCCATTTCATGCGGCTCAATGTGGTGCCTTCCATAGTTCCAGTTACAGATAGGTAGCCGTGTTGGTCTGCCATAGTCAAAACAAAAAAAATTCCTTCCAGTAGCACCTTAAAGGCCAACTAAGTTAGTTCTTGCTTTGAGCTTTCGTGTGCATGCACACTTCTTCAGATGCTCTATAAGACGCACCAGACCATAAGACGCACCTAGTTTTTGTAAGAGGAAAACGGGGGGGGGGGGAATCTGAAGCCAGGACAGCAAGCGGGATCGCAGCGCTTTTCCTCCTCGGGGAAAAGCCCCCAAGAGCCGCACACACGCTCCACACGGCTCTTTAAGGGGAGTGCTGAGCAGAGCCTCCCACCTGCATTCGCTCCATAAGACGCACACACACTTCCCCTTACTTTTTAGGAGGGGGAAAGTGCGTCTTATAGAGCGAAAAATACGGTAAGCCTTGTAGACAAATTTTTCAATTTAGCTGGGTACTTTTGTTATTTCTTCACAACTACTTTCCCTATGTTCGTAGTCTGCTGTATTGTCTGCTCTTGAGCACTAGAAAAGTTTCAAAGCACCAAGAATTAGAAATCTTGATCTAACCTCATGATGGACAAAGAATATAGCTATGCTTCCTAAAGCCAATGTAAGCTTCCACCTGCAGACTGAGAAAATATTTGCTCTAAAGATTAGGAACTTGCTGGTGAATCTGACGCAATGGCAAAACCAGACTCAGGATATTGAGCAGAGTGGAAAGAAAGGTCACCCATGATGGCAACTCATTGCCCGCTTTGGCAGCAATGGCCCCAAAAGTGTAACAAAATACGAAATATATTAGATTGAATCACTCTGTTTCCATCTCTCTATGACATCCATGTTTTCCTTCTCTCTTATCCAGCAGGTGTTGTGCAGTGGAGAGAGAACAGAAGGAAATCTTCAAAAAAAGCACAGGATGAGATGGTGGAGCAGAACCTCCTGAGTCACGATGGACCAAGGAGGGAAAAGAGAAGCCACAGAAAACGGAAGACAGACAAATCCATCGTTCCTCAAAGTAGCTTCTTCACTGAGCAAGGAGAACAACCAGAAAACAGAGATTCTTTGAGAACATCCAAAAAGGAGAAAACAATTCAAAGGGCAGAATCTGGAGAAATAAGCAGTGGGAGCAGAAACAATGGAAACAGCCCCACATGCCCTACAGAGGCGAAGCGATTTACTTGTTTGGAGTGTAGAAGGAGCTTCTGCAGCAAATGGAACCTTAAAGTACATAAAAGAACCCACACAGGGGAGAAGCCGTACAAATGTTTGGAGTGTGGCAGGAGCTTCAGGAATCAGAAGCAGTTTGCTGCCCATCAGAAGATTCACACAGGACAGAAATCACATAAATGTGCAGACTGTGGAAAGAGCTACCGCAATAAATGGAACCTTAAAGTACATAAAAGAACCCACACAGGGGAGAAGCCTTTCAAATGTACAGTGTGCAAGAAAAGCTTTAATGTGAGATCAAACCTTAATGCACATCAAAGAATTCACACAGGGGTGAAGCCCTACAAATGTTCTGTGTGTGGGAAAAGTTTCGCACGCAGCTCATACCTTAATGCACATCAAATAACTCACACAAAGAAGAAGCCCTACAAATGTTCTAAGTGTGGGAAATGTTTCGCACACAGCTCACACCTTACAGAACATAAGAGAACTCACACAGGGGAGAAACCTTTCAAATGTTCAGTCTGTAATAAATGTTTTGCTCAGAAGTCAAACCTTACTAGACATCAGAGCATTCACAAAGGGCAGAGACCCCATGAATGCTCAATATGTGGAAAGAGCTTCACCAGTAAATCAAACCTCAAGAGGCATCAAAAGCACCACACAAGGGAGACGCCCAACCAGGGTTCAAATCTCAGTCTGAGTTTAGATGATGAATCGAGACCTTATGTAGGAGAGAACACACAGCGGATTTAAACCATGTAACTTCAACTATGCTAAGAAGGTCGCATCCACACAATACTTTTAAAGCTTCCCCCCAAGGAATCCTGGGAACTTCAGTTCTTAAGGGAGCTGGCAATTGTAGGTCTATGAAGTACAAACTACTGTTTCCAGAATTCTTTTAACAAACCATAGAAAAGCTATAAATGTGCCTTAAAGGGGTGGTGCAAATGTGACCTCAGCCTCGGTTTCCATCTTTTGGGCGTCGCAGGAGCCACCCAGAGGCCTGTCCCCACCTGAACTTCCCAATACACACACACAATACATGCTTTGGGCAGGTTCTTGAGTCTTTTAAGTGACTAAAACTCATTGCCTCAACTGGCTTGTTGTTTATTGTTTGTGTGGATTCCATGTGATAGTTGAAAAGTTTTTTTACATATAATAAAGTGCCTTCATTTTAATAAGTTATGCTATGAAAATTGCTCTTGGGAGAATCTACAGAAAACTCAGCTCTTTCCTTGGCCAGAGCAAAGTCAACCAGCACCTTTCTCTCTTGACACTGGGAATTTCTCCCCAATAAATTCATCCGGCTGAAGTAACCATGTTGGGGATAATTTACGTGATTCTTTAGGCTTTTGAAACCAAAGAGAAGGATTGACCCAAGGAAGGAAGGGAAGTTTGAAAGGCTTCAGAGGCTACCCTGTTGGAAATGTAAAATTGGCACAGTAGCTGCTTCTGCTTTTTAGATTTGTTTTGAGACTACCAATCCTGAATAATAAAGTTGTATAAATATTACAGTTTGTACTCTTCTGTTTTCTCTGGCTCCTCACAACAAAAATGGATTCAGCTTTCCAATTTAGGTTGCAGATTCCAGCACACTTAGCACACATTCACAACATAATAATTATAAATAATAATAATAATAATAATAATAATAATAATAATAATAATAATAAATTCTTTATACCCCGCCCATATTGCTGGGTCTCCCATGCAGTGAAAGCAATGTGATACTGCTTTAAACAGTCATGGATTCCCCCAAGGAATTCTCGGAGCTAAAGGTTAAGAGTGCTGAGATGGGTTAGGGGAGACCTGCTATTCTCCTCACAGAGCTACAGTTTCCAGCATTACTAGGGGAGAGGAACTGATGGTTAAACCACTTTGCCCTAGATGCTCAAAGAACCCTAAAAGACTGGTGAATTGCAGAAGCCAAACTGGATTTTATTTAGTAAGACTCGGTCCTCTGAATATATGAAGACTTTACCAACCATACATCAGTGGTTGCACCTGAAACTGTGACAGACAGAATGTGAAAGCTTCACTAAAGTTATATTTCCCTTTGAGAAATTGCTTAACCTGTTGAAATTCTGCCTGCTACACAGCTGTTAAAGGCACAAGAATCAGAATAAGTACACTCAAAGGAAGGGAGAAGCAGCTTTTGAGGACTCGGGGGATTCCGGTTGCCTGGTATCTAAACCACTCACAAATCGCTCAAAGCTCTGAATTCACTCATTGGCTGAAAGGCTGGTGCCTAAAAATAAGGAAGGAAGGAACCAGGAGAGCCTCCCTGGGAAGAGCGTTCCAGGAGTGAGGAGGGACTTCAGGAAATGCCTGTTCTCAGGTTCCCTAAATGGGACTGCTGTCAATAGCCCCCATTTTTGCATCGCCCTCTTACAGCCCAATTGATAAAACAAGGTCCAGAGTGTGGCCGGCCACATGCCTCGGGCGGTGACATGTGGGGACAGACCCATTGTCATCATGACATCCACAGCCAGTCGCCTTGGTGCTGATGGTTGGAAAATGCCCTGGGGGTGCCTGCAAGCCCCCTGAACTCTGAGCGTCCTCCGGTATGCGCAGCTCTGGAAAAGGTATCTCCCTTGCGTGGTGAGTTCCCGCCTCCCAGCAGTGGTAAATAACGACACAAGACACCATAATTAAGGTTAATGGGCTAAAATTGGCCACAACTTTATTGGTTACAGGTAAGAGCGGTATTGGCTTAGGCACTGGTCCTATCTGTCTATCCGGCTTCAGCCTGATGGCTTGAAGACCGGCAAGGGTTAACACCAGCAGGGGGTGTGCCATCTGGGCATAACCCAGTCTCCCTCACCTCTCCCTACCCTGAAACACTATGGTGGGGGACTCTGCTATTCTTCGCAGCTCCTCTCCTTCCAGACACATCTCCACTCCCTCAATAATAACAGAGAACAACCAAACACACACAAATGTAAAACAGTTAAAACCATTGGAGCAGCAGGCCTGTCTCCAGCTGCCTGAGCCCAAATAACCCTCCCAAAACCTAGACATTTCCTTTAAAAAGAAAAAGTCTGCCCAGGTGGGCATGTTGCGCCCCCAAAGAGGACATGTCCAGGTTTTCCCAGACATATGGCAACCCTACAGTGTATAAAATTCATTGCTACAAAAGGTTTGGTGCACAATAGTACCATCATGTTCAGGACCCCTCAACTTCTGAACACCAGATTCTGGGTCTTCTACGTCCAGTAACTGGTCTTCCTAGAGCTATCTGATTAGCCACTGTAGAAAATAGAATGCTGGACTAGCTTATGGTCAAGCTAACATTACCAGGGTCAAAAAAAAAATTAAGAAAACCACAAAAGTTGATGTTATTATATTGACAGTATGTGAAACCAGGCCACAATTTAAAAAAAACAAAAAACAAGAAAGCTATAACTCAAAGCGCAGGAGGGGAAAAGAGGGCATTTCTGTCTTTCTCTCTCTGCTGTTTAATTTCTATTTTCAGATCACACTTCCGCCCTGCCACTGTTTGTTTTTCTATGAACTCCAATTCCCAGCAGCCTTTGCACTTCCCACATAAACGATCAACACCTGGCTTCATTTATCTGAGCAAACACCCAAGTGGGTTAGTGAAGGGGCTTGAGATGAAGAAGGAAAGTCTGTGAATTCACCAATGTCTACCAGAACAGGTGAGCTGGAGCCTACCAAGAACTCAAGATAGGACCCGGGTGAGTCAAAGGATGACAGCCCTTTGGAAGAATGAGAAAGTGAAAACAAGGGATTTCTTATTGTGCAGGAGGAGGAATGTGGGTAGCAAGGAAGGGTGCAAGAGAGAGATTTCTTCCCCTGGGAGGTTAAGATGGGGTGGGGCTTGGGAAGGGTGTCTCTTGCCTTCGTGTTTTGCATTAATGAAATATTTCCCTAAGGGGGGGGCTTGTTTTTTGTTAATTCATTTTCAATTAAAAACCTTCCAATTGGTGACAAATCAAATCTTGCCAAATCATAATACAAACAGTACAGCCAATTATACAGTGCAACTTTAAAAAATTTCAGAAGGGGACCTCCTATGTTCTGGATCTCGAGAGAAAATGTCTTTTATTTTCTGCTTTCTTCTCTCTTGTTGTTTTCCAATTTCATATTTCCGATCTTAACCAACCTTATCTCACAATCACTGGTGTATGACTCTCAATCTTGTTTAACAAAGTCCATATATCTGTTAACATGCAAGAGGCAAATCTTATTCCATGTTGTTCCCTTTCAGTTGTTTTTAAAACACAGTCCTCCCAATGGCCCCTTCTTTCGCTCCACTGCTTTTAGCTCCAAAGACTCTGGGCTCTCTTCCAAGACTCCTTCAACTGATAAAATTTATGGCGTGGCGATCTTTCTGATCTCTTAACGAGTCGATGTTTCAGTAAAAAACAATGCGATGGAGCATACTTCACAATCAGTATTTATGCAGAGACTGTTTTCAGTTCCTCTAAAATCCAAGCCAGCTTTCCACAGGCCTTAGGAAAGCCAGCAGAAATCCAGGAGTCACCGTGACTTTCTACTTAATCCATATATGAGAATAATCCATTCAGACAAATCCAATTTTGTGTGAAATACCCCCCCATTTTAGTCCATCAAATATCTCGAGCGCACACACACACACCACCATAGGGGAGGCTGTTTATTTTTCTTCCTGTGCAACAGCAGTCTCAATTTTTTCCCCATCAGCCTGAGCCGCTTTCATATCTGATCTTGTTTTGCCAGTTCTAATTGGGGCTCTCTACCGGGGACTACGCAGCCATGTATCCAATTAATATTTACAGTTCCTCCTGCAATTCCTTTAGATATTTGATTCTTTCCTGGTGCGGTTCGCCATATGATGAAATAGCAAATATAAAGAATGTACAAAAACGGCTGCCGCTCACCTCATAAATCAAAGCACAAAGATGAGAGTCCTTTTCAAGTACAAACCTTGGCATCCAGTGATTGGTTAGTTTAGCAGATCTTTTCTATCTCTTTCTTTCCAGAACATGCCTGTTTCTTAGTGCAAATTCAATAATTTTTAAAAACAGGGATCTCCTGGCTCATGCCGAATGGCTCTGGAGAGTTCCCAGTAAACGCAGGGCACACCCAGTGGCCCTGCCCCCACATTCTGAAGCAAGTGGCAGATAACGGACGATCTGTGGGTCATGCCTGTCCCCCCTTACGCTGGGGTGTCAGCAGAGATAATTACTGCCATATCAACCCTTATAACCTGCACAGTTGAGGTCCGATGTTATAAGGAAAGCACCCATTTCCCAGGGCCAGGAAACCAGAATTCCAAGAGGGTGGCTTGTTTAAGGCAGAGCTGCAACCCAGAATCCACAAAGGAAAGGAAAAGAGGGACAAGATGTGTATTAGGGCTTCTGCAGGTGGAGGTTGCGACATGTCCTGGAGCAAAGATCAAAAGAGTCTTAGGAGGAAGGAAGCTGCTCAATGTTAGAGTGCCTGCCTTGCATTGCAGAAGGTGGCAAGTTCAATCCCCAGTATCTCCATGTAGGGCTTGGGAGAGGCTTCCCATATGAAACCCTGGAGAGCTGCTTCCAGTCAGTGTAGACAGTATTGAGCTAAGTGGCCAAAGTTACTATTCTCTTGTGTATATGAGGATCATGAAGGAAAACATTCATTTCGGAGCTATTTTCCTAAAACAGTAAGATGGAGAGTGTCTAGTGTGCATATGGGGCACACAATGTATCCTCTGAAGGCTGAGCTGAACAGGATACTTCTTATGCTTCTAATTTTTCTATTTCCTGTTTCTCAAGATGCCTTATTTCAAACAATCTACTTTCTCAAACAGGCAAAGAGAAAGCGGCAGCCAGTAAATGAAGCAGCAGACGCCCGTGCATATGAAGAAGTTTGCAAGGAACCCAGTTGGACCACAGCCAGGATGATGATGTTTGATACTTGCAAGGAGCCAGACCTGTGCATTGTCTATGGGGAACCCTTCAGACAAAAGCCCA